AATCTGAGTCAGTTGCAGTGAGGTGGAAGAATCTACAGCCTGTTATACAGAGTGAAGCACTCAGAAAGAGAAAAACAAATATCGTATATTAACACATACATATGTATATATAGAATCTAGGAAAATAGATAAATACGTTGATGAACGTATTTACAGAGAAGGAATGTAGATGCAGACATAGGGAATGGACTTGTAGACGCAGGAGGGGAAGGAGAGGGTTGGAGGAATTGAGAAAGTAACCTCGACATAGACTGTCATATGTAAAATACGAGTATATATCTAGTGGAAAGCTGCTGTATAAAAGGGAGCCCAGCCTGATTCTCTGAGATGACCTATAGGGGTGGAATGGGAAGGGGGAGAGAGGTGCAGGACAGAGGGGATATAGCTGTTGTTTAGTTTCTAGGTCATGTCTGGCTCCTTAGTGACTCCACAGAGTGTAGTCCAGCAGCCTCCACTGTCTGTCACATTTCCCAGCCAAGAATACTGAAGTGAGTTGCCATTTCCTTCTCCAGATATATAGATACATAACTGTGCATTATTTGCACTCTAGTATGGCAGAAACCAACACACCATTGTAAAGTAATTTACCTCTACTGAAAGCAAAATTGTTTGACACACATCTTGAATGCAACAAAGCTCAACAAATAATTGTTGATCCTTCTGTGTGGTCTTATGATGGAGCCTAAAATTCTAATTCTTGAATCATGAAGGCTTAAGAGAAAAGCAGAAGCTGGGGAGGCACGGTTCTTCCACATGGGGTGTGAGTAAAGGAGGAAGCTCAAGAGACTCCACTGTCGTGGGTCAGAGGGTCTAGTCTCTGAGGTGCCCTCTGTGGATGGCAAAGAGCAGGTGATGATGAGGTCTGAGAGCCCTGCCATGCCTGGAGGCCACCCACTGACTCAGCACCCAGTGGGTCTGAATCCCAGCCCTGTTCCCTCCTAACTGTGGGATCATAGACCCAACCCATAACCTCTCTGAGGCTCAGGTGCTTCATGGGTTCGTGGGGACAGGACTGCTTCCGTGAGGATTAAATGATTATTGCACATTCCCCAGGTTCATGATGGCACTTGACAAATGTGAGCTGCTCCTAAGTGTAACCTTGCAGTTCTTTTAATTCTCAGTCCTGGGCTCTGGTCACCTACCTCTAATCTGAGATCGTGGGCTTTGTCATGCCCCACCCACCTGTCTTGCAAGAGCATCATTTCATCCAGAGTGTCAGAATGTGCTCCCATGATGGCTCCCAGGACTTTTGTGAAGACACACATCCCCTGCACTATGGGACTATCAGGTTTCTCTCTCTCCTCTGCCCCACAGGAATCTCAGTCTCCCTCTCCTTTTATGGGCTTCATCACAACCCGAAGGTGTGGCCGAACCCAGAGGTATGATGGACGTGGGAGGAGGAGATGGGATGCTCTCTCGACACCAAACCTTTCCCCTGCTCCCTCTCTGGGACTCTTATCCCCAGGGGATTCATGTGAGGGGTTTGACCCCAAATGTCCTGGCCCCGGTGCTCTCTCTGCAGGTGTTTGACCCAACCCGGTTTGCACCAGGTTCTACTCGACACAGCCATGCCTTCCTGCCCTTCTCAGGAGGATCCAGGTGAGACCTCTGCACTGGGGGAAGCAAGTGTCACTGGTTGCTACCCGAGGTGTGTGACTGTCTACCTTCATATGAGGAGCATGAAGTTCTGTCCTTGTATGTTGATGCGCTGAGGAGGAGGCATGGGTCTCCATGAACAAGATCTTAAGGGCCCACTACAATGACACTGACCTCCTACTGCCCACAAGGATTGACCTCGTTTCCATGTCAGTGGCCAATCCAAAGTATCCAGGTTATCCTCACTTTAGGAGTATGACATTTTAGCATTGGAAGTCTTCATGAAATTCAAACTACACTTCTTTGCTTAGCACAATGACAGTCACCTTAAAAGATGATTTTCTCTGTTCCCACCTTCCTAGTCAGAACACTACCTTTCTGCTTCATTCACCTGTCCTCCCTCACTGTATTCATCATGCTTGCCTGGATTGGGAATTCCATGTCCTGAGACTTCAAGTCATGTATGTGATCAGTTATAGTTGTAGTTTGAAGAAAGTTTCACGGTCATGAGTGTTCTCTCTTCCTGTAGTACATCAGACATAGATTTGACTGTGTATTAATATGACCGTGATGTCACGGTCTTCTGTTGCCAAAATTCTTTATTAAAAAGCAGAATTTAGATACCATAGTCCCAGATTCTCCAGAGTGATGTTAGTAAGAAAAACCTTAAAGTGGAGGACAATCATGTCTGCTTTGGGGACTCTATTGCTGATCCTGCTCATGATGCCAGTTATCTCACTGTTCACACCGTGCACACCGTTTGCTGAACCCAGGATAGGCAAAGCGTCAGCAAAGAGGCTGGAAGAGGACTGGAGGAGCCATAGGAACTTCAGACACGTTTATTCTCTCCTGGATGTGTCATGTCCGCCATAACCCACCTCTGTGCTGCCTGACGCAGTCTCTGTAGCAGCAGCCATAAAAACCATAACATAGCTAGAACATAACCTCATATAATGTATCCATGATATTACTCCAATGTAGCCCCAATAGAGCATTAACCAGGGCTTTCATAGTGACACTCCTAAAGGTGTACCACACAGCACCCTCAGAGCTTTTCCAGGTGGAGCTTATATAACAAAAGTAGCCAGAGTCCAAGCAAGTACCATGTGACTCCCGTATGCAGTGCTATAGGTGATCTCAGCTGTTCCACAATCATTACTACAACCCCTGAGGCAACAGTGAGAGACCACAGGGCGAGAGAGCCTGACCATGCCATCTTCGCTAATTTGCTCTTTCTCTAAAGGGGGGAGACTATTTTGTGTTTGACAAGTGCATTTGAAAAATGCATTGCATGTAAAACCTAAAGCACCCTTGAAATAGCTGTTAGCCTGGATGATACACTCCTAAATGATTGCTGTGCAGAACTTAAAGGGCACAGAACCTCCTCTGAAAGAGTAATTTCAATGACTTTGTAACTTAGTAGAAATAAGTTTTTTCTGACTGTACAGATCTAGGAAACTTTCAGTTGGTGAATCAACCTTTACAGAACAGTGTTCTGTAAGTAACTGTCTTCCTGAATTGTTTCTAGGATTTGGTTTACCCCAGGGTGCAGCTGTTCCTAGAGGGCAGGAGGGACTAGGTGGTTTGATTCCTAGGTCAGACTGAATATTTCTTATATTCTCATTCCATTTGAGGTGTTTTCAGTTCAATTAATATAGTTAAAATGTGAAAATATGTATTAAGCGTGTCTCCGTGTACCAAGACCTGTGCTAGGAGATGGGAACACAGGGATGATAATGCTGTCCTCCCTCAGAGCTCACTGTCAACAAATCAACACGTCTACTCAAGACAGACGTCATTCACACATCCACTCTTTCACTCACCCATTCATTGGGCAGACTGTGGAAGGATTCATGGTCTGGCCCTGTCCTGTGCACTGGATGTGATGTGTCCTTAGTTTAACACCCATGGTGCCTTGAGGCTCCCGAATGGGAAGAGGTGCAGCCAGCAGAAGGGGTGAGGGTGGTGGTCACTGGATTGAGCCTTGAGCATGAGGATGGCAGGGGTGAGGGGAGGGGACCTCAACAGTTGCTGAGTCAGGAAGAGGAGCTGGACAGACCCCAGGTGGTGAGGAAGAATTCAGAGAGGGCTGTGATGCAGCTGAGGCACTGGGATGTGTCCTCCCTGTGATGCAGAACATAGCAGGCCTGGAGCTACTGTGTCTTTAGAGGGAGGGGAGGAATAGAGGCTGAAAAGGCCAGATGAGGAGCCCAAGGGATGGTTAGCAGGGTCATTTCTGGATTAGAATGGGAAGGTTCCAAGAGTAGATTGACTGAGGGGTTGAGGGGGACAGGAAGCCAGACCATTAACTGGGAGGGAATTGGACCAGTAGGTTCAGGGTGGTTAACTGTTGTCTTCTCCAGGAAGCCTCCCTGTTGCCATTCTGATTCCTTGCACAATCCTGTCTTGTCATCTCTGGGCGCTAGGCAGCCTGTTTGTCCTCTGTAGGTAGTAAGATCCTGAGAGGGTGCCACCCTGCCCCTAGAGTGTCCTGGACTGACCTGAAACCAGGAATTGCCAGTGGACGAGTGAATAAAGTACTAGTTCACAGTTCTTGATACACTTGACTTGATTCTGTTGCTTACAGCACAGGTGCTCCCCAGGATTTCCTGCTGAGAGCAGGAGTAGGAGTTAGGAGCTAGTCCTTAGAGAGGTGGGCTTTGTCATCTGTCAGGGGGAGAGCTTTGCTAGCAAGTTGAGTGTGATTAGTAAGGAAGGGATCAGGGCTGGGCCACCTGGAGGAGACCCCAGATTCCCTCTTCTCAGCAGGGGTTAGAAGCCCTTGCTTACTTCCTTTTTATCTCCCAACCTAGGAACTGCATCGGGAAGCAGTTTGCCATGAATGAGTTGAAGGTGGCCGTGGCCCTGACCTTGCTTCGCTTTGAGCTGTCACCGGATCCCTCCAGGGTCCCTGTGCCCATGCCAGTCATTGTGCTGAGATCCACAAATGGGATCCACCTGCAGCTCAGGAAGCTATCTGATCCAAGTGGGGACAAGGACAAGCTCTGAGGGCCGCTGCCTGCCATCCTGTCTTGCTGTCACTCTCTCCTGTCCTTGCCTCTTTGCCCACTTCCTGCTTTTGTCTGCCCTCTGCCAGCTTGCCTCATCTCCTGCCTCCTGCCCAGCAGCAGACTCTCTGCCCTTCTCCTCTCAACTTTCTCCAGGCTCTCCGTCTGCTTATTTCTCCATCTGTCTCTGACCCACTGTATCTCTCACTGTCCACCTGAATCCTGATCACCCGACATTTTCCAGTATGTGTATTCTCTCCTGTGTTTCTCCCCTTCTGCCTGCCTATCTGTCTCTGTAATCACTTCCATTTAGATGGTAAAATGATTTGCCTCTACCTTAGGGCCTTAGAACAACACAGTGTTATCCTCTAGTGGCTCTGGAGTGAGAAGTCAGAAATGGGTTTCCCTGGACACAACCAAGATATCAACAGGCCCCTCATCCAGGGACCTGGGACAGAATCCTGCTTTTTGCCATTTTTGCATCTAGAGCTACATCCTTGCATTCCTTGGCTCCTGGGCCCTCCTCCACATTCAAATCCAGCAGCATCTTCAAATGGCCCTCTGCTCCTGTCTTCATATAACCTTCTCTTTCTTCAAGACTTTGTGCTTACCTGGGCAACTCAGACCAAACAGGTTCATTCTGGGTTTCCGCGAACTAGGATAAGAACAACTGGGAGCCATCTCTGGACCTGTTAAATACTGTGCAACTCCCTTTGCCCTGGGCCACTGTTCTCTCCTGCATTAGATGTGTCTACCCCCGTTTCACTCACAGGGTTTCCTCTTTCCCGGTCCCTGGATAAAGTGCACAATATCATATGGAATGCGTGAGTCTTCTCTGAAAGGAGTCGGATGAAGCAGAAGAGAGAGAAGGGGAGGGAATAACAGCGGGAGGAGCAGGGGAGATAAAACCTGCTCTGTGGGGCCGAGACCCTAGCAGGGAGAGTGTCTCCAGCCCCCCTGCAGCTTCACTCTGGTGTCACTGAAGCCCCACACCCTGTCCGGTACCTGAGGCTCCCATGAGAGCTGAGTCAGGAGAGAGGCCTCGTCGCCTAAGGCTCAGAGGGAAGACGCTCACACCAACACCTGTCATGGAAGGAGCCTGCCTCTTCCTCTGTGGTAGCTTTCTCACCACATCTGTAAAGGGGCCCAGCCAGCGCCCACCCTTTGCAGAGCAGGGAAGACTTACAGACTTGTTCAGGCACAAGGGTCTGATTCACCCCCGAAGAGATTTGAGAAGAGCCCAGCCTAGCCATGTCACCAGCCCCCTGGCAACCCTTCCTCACGGACAGGTCCTGCAGACTCCTCAGATGCCACAAGTGGTGGGGGCGTGTGTTGTGCAGCAAGGCCTGGGAGGAACCAGCTGGGCACAAGTCTTGGCGGCCACACAGGGAGAAGCCAGGCCCCTCAGGACACTTGTAAATACTGAGCTTCTCCAGAGGGTAAGGCAGAAATGACAATGCCTCAGTTGGGAATGCAAACTAGCATAGCCACTATGGAGAACAGTGTGGAGATTCCTTCAAAAACTGGAAATAGACCTGCCATATGACCCAGCAATCCCACTTCAGGGCAAACACACTGAGGAAACCAGAATTGAAAGAGACACATGTACCCCAATATACACCATAGCCAGGATATTGAAGCAACCTAGATGTCCATCGGCAGACGAATGGAATAGGACGTTCAGAATACGGATAAGGAAGTTGTGAATATTCTATACACAATAGAATATTACTCAGCTATAAAAAAAGAACTCATTTGAGTCCATTCTAATGAGGTGGATGAAGCTGGAGCCTATTATACAGAGTGTGTAAGTCAGAAAGAGAAAGACCAATACAGTGTATTAACACATATATATGGAATTTAGAAAGACGGTAATGATGACCCTATATGGAAGACAGCAAAAGAGACACAGATGTAAAGAACAGACTTTTGGTCTATGTGGGAGAAGGCGAGGGTGGGGTGATATGAGAGAATAGCATTGAAACATGTATATTACCATATGTAAAACAGATGACCAGTGCAAGTTCAATACATGAAGCAGGGCACTCAAAGCTGGTGCTCTGGGACAACCCAGTGAGATGAGCTGGGGGGTGGGGTTTCAGGATAGGGGGACTCACGTACACCCGTGGCTGGGTCGACGTAAGGCTAAACCACCAGAATCCTGTAAAGCAATTAGCCTCCAATTAAAATAAATATATAAAAGAAGGAAGAGGTAGTGTAGAACAATTATAAAATAATTCGAATGAACTTGTTTACAAAACAGAAAGAGACTCACAGACATAGAAACATACATCAGCTTACCAAGGAAAAACAGAAAAAGCAATAAATTAGGAGTATGGAATTAAAGGATAAACTCTACTGTATATAAAGTAGATAAATATCAAGAATTTACTGTATAGTACAGGGAATGTTATTCAACATATTTTGATAACCTATAATGGAGAAGAATCTAAAAAGGAATATGCATGGATATAGTGCATATATCTGAATCACTTTGCTGTACACCTGAAACTAACACAGTATTGCAAATCAACTAAAAGTCAATAAAGTAAAAAAGACAAATAGCGGCATTCATTGGCCTTTAATTGAGAGCATTTAAACTCTCCTGGAGAACCTTGCCTCAGACATGCAAGTTATTGCCAGCTAGCTGGTGCTGTATACCCACCCCTCCTAAAGTTATTTTTTTCATTCTGGAATGCATGACTAGAACACATATATTTATCAGTTGGTAAATAAGAAGTAGCTAAATTTAGGGGTTTAATGCTTCAGCTTCACTGGGATCTTCCCATATGTCCCCACTCCAATTTCAGGTTCCCATTACTTCCCAATAAATACTCACACTTTGGCAGAAGATTGGGAAATCAAATTGCATGTAATTCAGACACCAACAGGATGAGACTTTGGATTTAGTTTTCACAAATCTCAGCACAGACTGAGGCCCTGTGGCTACAGGAAACAAAGGTTTCTTTTAGGTCAGACACTGAAGATTTCTGATCAGTTATGTGTAGTTTGGCCTGGGAATTTGAATCCCCAACCTCATCCATTTCCTTCAGTGCTTTCACCAGTACAGCTAGGAACAACCAACTGGTCTTACTAAACTCTTTAATTTGACTGAAAAGTTCTAAGATATCGAATATATGGTCATCAGAATCTTACTTTTTATAAAAATTTGGTTAGTAACATCCAATGATGATGTTTTGTGTATCTTTATTTAAAATCCTCAAAGGTGATGCTCTTAAAGGACTGCACTCAATATGTCAGCAAATTTGGAAAACTCAGCAGTGACCACAGGACTGGCAAAGGTCAGTTTTCATTCCAATCCCCAAGAAGGGCAATGCTAAAGAATGTTCAAGCTACATACCATTGTGCTCACTTTACATGCTAGCAAGATTATGCTCAACATCCTTCAAGCTAGGATTCAGCAGTATGTGAATCAAGAATTTCCAGATGTATAAGCTGGGCTTAAAAAACCTAGAGCAACCAGAGATCAAATTATCAACATTCGCTGGTTCATCGAGAAAGCAAGGGATTTCTAGAAAAATATCTACATCTGCTTCATTGACTATGCTAAAGCCTTTGACTATGTGGATCACAACAAACTGTAGGAAATTCTTCAAGAGATGAGAGTACCAGACCATCTGTCCTTTTTTCTGAGAAACCTGAATGATGCAGGTCAAGAAGCAACAGTTAGAACTGGATATGGAACAACAGACTTGTTCCAAATTGGGAAAGGAGTACGTCAAGGCTGTATGTTGTCACCCTGTTTATTGAGTTTATATGCAGAGTATATCATGTGAAATGTTGGGGTGGATGACTCACAAACTGGAATCAAGATTGCTGGGAGAAATACCAACAACTTCAGATATGCAGATGATACCACTCTAACGGCAGAAAGTGAAGAGGAACTAAAAAGCCCCTTAATAAGAGTGAAAGAAGGGAGTGAAAAAGCTGATTTGAAACTCAGGGTTCAAAATACTAAGATCATGGCATCTGATTGCAACATTTCATGGCAAACAGAAGTGAAAAAAGTGGAAGCAATGACAAATTTTATTTTCCTGGGCTCCAAAATCACTGTGGATGATGACTGCAGCCATGAAATTTGAGACACTTACTTTTTGGAAGGGAAGTGATGATAAACCTAAATAACATGATAAAAAGAAGAGACATTATTTTGCTGACAAAGATCCATACAGTCAAAGCTAAAGTTTTTCAGTGGTCATGTACGGATGTGAGAGTTGGACCATAAACAAGGCCGAGCGCCGAAGAATTGTTGCTTTCAAATTGTGGTGCTGGAGAAGACTCCTGAGTGTCCCATGGACTGCAAGGAGATCAAACTAGTCATTCCTAAAGGAAATGAACCTTGAATATTCACTGGAAGGACAGATGCTGAAGCTGAGGCTCTTGAACTTTGGCTACCTGACATGAAGAACAGACTCTTTGGAAAAGACCCTGATGCTCGGAAATATTGAGTGCAGGCAGAGAAGAGGGAGGCGGAGGATGAGATGGTTGGATACCATCACCAATTCAATGGATATGAATTTGAGCAAACTCCAGGAGAAAGTGGAGGACAGGGAAGCCTGGTGTGCTGCAGTCCATGGGGTAACAAAGAGTCAGACTCAACTTAGCAACGGAACAACAACAACATTGCGACTTCATGCTCTAGACCACCTGTGTCCTCTTTACCACTGACCACATGCTCGTTAGTGTCTTTCCAACTGCTTCTATTAGAGAACCAGTTCCATCCAGAAGCCTACCTAGGAAACTCATCCCTAAGATTTTGCTCCTCTTCAACATTATGTGTAGCACAATCTGAGTTAGTCTGAGTTCTAACAGAGAAACAGAACTAGCAGAATAGATGTCGAGACAGGGAAAAAGACAAACGCAGCAGGAGAAGGTGCCTGAGTGCGGCTTCTCTGCCCAGCCACGAGTTCTCCTGTCTCCTTCTCTGTCATCCCACTAGGAAGCTGAGCAGCTGAGCTTAAGAAGGGAACATGGGGACCAGGCAGTCTGGTGGATCAGATAACTGACTGAGTGGGAAAAGGGCAGGGAGAGACAGGCCAGGCAAAGATCCTTCTCACACAGCACCAAAGGGGAGTGGGAAGGGCAGGGAAGGTGGGTGCTCACTCACCAATCCACTGGAAGAAGAAGTCATGTACATCTGGGCCTCAGGAACTTCAGGAGACAGAGATGACTGAATCAGGCAGGGACCGAAGGATTCCCAGAGGAAGTCAGGTGATAAATAGGGTGAGTCTCCGCCTGGCCAGACTTTGGGTGCAGGCCCAGGGTCCCTCCCCAATGGCACCCTGAGCCCTTTGCTCTCAGGAGCTTCAGGTTCTCCGAGGAGCCCTCACCTTCTCGAGTGTACACAACTTTGGCAAATCAAGGTCATAGTAGTTTAGGAAGCCAAGGAACTATCCAAACCAGAGTTGATGGGCTATGAGAACTGGTGGACCAAGGACACCACCTTGTTCAGACTCCCCTTAGCAACAGAAGGCCTGACCCCTCAGGAACCCAGCGTCAGCAGCCAGGCCAGCAGGGAAAAGAGAAGGCTGCCCGGGAAGATGTGGGGAGCACCCCTCCCTGCATAATAAGCAAGTAAACAGTAAAGTAAAATGACTGCAGACAGTGCTCTGTACTACGAAGGGAATAAACACAGTGCTGGGAGAGAGACTGACAGGGAGGCCCTGCTTAGATAG